GGGGTGACTGACTGCTTTTCTCTGGGGGCGCACTGAGGAGTGGGGCCCTGAGTTCTCAGCTCCTCCGGGCGGAGACTGGGAGGCCGCCATTTTCACTCTTGTCCTCCAAAGCTGTACGGAAAGCTTGCAGGGAACAAAAGCTCCCGAGAGCAAGCCCGAGCAGATTACTGAGCCCAGACCGGCAAGGGCAGGGCAATTCCGCCTCCGGCAAAGACATTTAGGAACCATGGCAACAGACCAAGTTTATCGATCAATGAGAACGGCAGAACTCCAGAGGTAGGGGAATACTGCACAGACAATTCATGGCTTTTTTTACCGTGATTCTTTAGTCTTTCAAAGTTAATTTTTTTTAACTGTCTTTTTTTTTTTAATTTTTCTTTTTCCCTTTTTCAGCCAACATCTTATCAATCCCTTTAAAAAAAAATTTTTTTTTCATTTTTAGAGTCATATTCTATCCCTTCATAGAAGTTACCCTTATTTTTGGCGCATATATATATATATATATATAGTTCTCTCTTTAAAATTTTGGGATACAGTTTGTTCTAACAGATCAAAATATACCCTAAATCTCTAGTGTATGGCTTTGTTCTAGTCTCCTGCCTGATCACATTCTCTCCTTTTTCTGTTTTTTTAAAATCCTCTTCTTTCTTTTTTCAAAAAACTTCTTATCAATTCCTTTTATAAAATTTTTAAAAATTTTCATCTTTACATTCATATTCCATCCCTTCATTGTATTAACCCTTATTTTGTACATACATAAGTTTTTCTTTCTTTAAAATTTTGGGAGGCACTTTCCCCTAACAGACCAAAATACACCCAAAATCTAGTGTGTGGCACCGATCTATGTACCAGCCTAATCATATTTGATCATATTCTGTTTTTTGTTTTGTTTTGTTTTGTTCTATTTTTGTTTGTTTTTATCTCTATCTTTTTCTTTTCTTTTTCTTTCCCTTTCTTTTCCCCCGGTTTCAGGTCTTTTCTGATTTGTTTAGAGTATATTTTCTGGGGTCGTTGTTACCCTGTTAGCATTTTGTTCTCTCACTCATCTATTCTCCTCTGGATAAAATGACAAGATGGAAAAAATCACCTCAACAAAAAGAACAAGAGGCAGTACCGACTCTCAGGGACCTACTGAATACGGACATTACTACGATGTCAGAACTAGAGTTCAGAACGATGATTTAAAAGATACTAGCTGGGCTTGAAAAAAGCATGGAAGTTATTAGAGAAACCCTTTCGGGAGAAATAAAAGAACTAAAATCTAACCAAGTTGAAATCAAAAAGGCTATTAATGAGGTCCAATCAAAAATGGGGGCACTAACTGCTAGGATAAGTGATGCAAAAGCAAGAATTAGTGCTATAGAAGACCAAATAATGGAAAATAAAGAAGCTGAGAAAAAGAGAGATTAAACTACTGGATCACGAGGGCAGAATTCGAGAGATAAATGATACCATAAGATGAAACAACATTAGAATAATGGGGATCCCAGAAGAAGAAGAAAGAGAGAGAGGGAAGAAGGCATATTGGAGCAAATTATAGCAGAGAACTTCCTAATTTGGGGAAGGAAACAGGCATCAAAATCCAGGAGGCACAGAGAACCCCTCTCAAAATCAATAAAAACAGGTCAACACGCTGACATCTAACAGTAAAACTTACGAGTCTCAGAGACCAAAAGAAAATCCTGAAAGCAGCTCTGGAGAAGAGATATGTAACCTATAATGGTAGAAACATTAGATTAGCA